ATGAAAAGCTTGGAAAAAAGCTTTATGGAGAATTTCCAAGATTAGATTTTATCTCATTACTTTATCAAAATTATTTTTTTTTTTTTTAGGTCAATGCCTGATTTCTTCATGATATTAAATTTCAGTGATTTACAACTGAATTTAATTTTTTCCACTTTATCTAAAAAATTACTCGGTAAATTTTAAATACAGTCACCGTTTTTTGTTCGTAAGAATTAAATATCGAAAAAATCTTAGCATATCTATCAAAATATAATAAGATCTTCAATTCTAAAATTTAAATTTTTTCAAAAAATACTATAAACATGTGATACAAACTTTTTTTTATTTAGGTATTTTTTTAATAGCAAAAATATATGGATATTATTTTCAATGATGTACATTTTTGTAACATAAAAACTTACATCATGTGAATCTCATAAACGACCATCAAACTGACTCTGAGAATTACATCTTAGTGCTGCAATATATCTACAAGAGACTTCTCGAATGCAGTCGCAACGATTGATCTACAGCTTGTAACCTCTCAACGACCTCTAGCTACTGTGGAATGTCGGGGTAATAACCAAAACCCTGGCAATTATGAAGTTTTGTTGCAACAAATAACAAGCCAGAAGAATGGAGTATAAAAGTTTCTTTCCCATTGATGTTCTCCTACGAAGTTGTGTTGTTCACAAAGAGGTGACAGAATATGAGTGATGTTTATTGAGATTAAACGTGACCTCAGTTATTTATCAAGTTTTTATAGCTTCTAGAGAATTGAAAAGTCAATAAAAGATGCAGTGAGAGGATGAAAATCACTAAGATAACCGAAAAAGGCAAATTGTCATTGAAATTTTATATTTATTGACTATTATTGTAGATAAAGTGGTTGGTAGGTGAATGGAATGGGACGTTTCAATAAAAAGGGAAAACGGAACTCTACAGTCGGACATGCCATTGAAGAGTTAAGCTGGAAGAAATAGCGAGCGTGGCTTGCGTAGGTAGGTTATTGTAGCATCATTGCGAAATGCACCGTACGGTTACAGCTTTACGGTACTTCAGGGTGCTGTTACGCTTTTACTGCGTCGTTTTGAAAATACGGAGGGTGATTCTAGCAGGGGTATGTCTCTCTCTTTTCCTCTCTGTACGTTAGTTAGAAATGTGTACGAGATAAAAAAGGATCGACATAGAGAGTGAGTACCTCTCAGTAGAGCAACGAAAGAGGCTTTTCCGTTGTCAATAAAATTAGTCTGGCTTCATCGACGAGCGTTTTAAGACTCGGCGATTATTTCTTTACTGCTCCAAAACGTTGAGGATCTTGGAAAATAATAAAATGTATTTCTATGAATCCGATTACTGAGAGTATGAAGCTATTTGTGTAAATTTATGATAAGAGATTTGATTTTTCACTAGCACAGTGTAAATTATAGATTTAATATCGTAAAAAACAAGATGTAGTTTAAGTTTCAGAAGAAATGAATTTGTTTGATGTATATTTTCAAATGTTTTTATTATAAATAAAATAAATGAATTCATTTGTTTTATTTAATTTTCATTATTTGAATTTATAATGTAGAAATATACATAAAGCTATTCAGATTATAAAGCACGATAAATAACATTTAATGATGATTTTTTCACATTAAAGGAATTAATGAGCGAGTATTTAGGATAAAAATAGGGTTAAAAATGAAATAGTTTTTCTAATTAAAATGATGACATTGTATAGTTTTTCTTATCGTTATAAAAAGAAAAAGGAAGTAAAAACAGTAATATGTGCCTCATAAAATGATACATTGTGGTTTTATAGTTTATACTTGAGCTACCATGCGCTCATGCGCGTGTAGCTGTAAGGGGAGAATTCAAAAAGGATTGGGTTTTATGTGGTAGAATTAGTGACCACTACATTAAATACTCTTTATAGAAGGCTAACAAAATTACAGAATAAAATCTGTTCATTTAAATTTAATTAAAAATAAAAAAAACTAGAATCATTGTAATCATTAGTGATGCATAATTTTATTTTACAATTTTTTCGTAATAAATAACTACTTTGCATACATGCAAGACAATTGTGAGAAACGACAGTGTCTGTAGGCGGAATGTATATCCAAGTTGCGGGCCATCCATGTAATGAAAGTATGATTGATGACACACACGGGTCGAGCATCATTAGCTTCTACGCGATCCTCGTTGGGTAGATGTCGTGGCGTTGGCTTTAAACACATTATGCACTAATGTAATCTCGAGATAGTGAGGAAACACGAGCCCTATACGCAGAAATACGAGACAATAGTGTCCGACGAGGAATGTTTAATGCTTTTGGAATGGTACATTGTGATTTGTCAAGAGTTAATTGCTTCGAATGACTGACGAATTTATTCGGAAAGATAAACCATCTTCATAAAGATACAATCTGTTTTTTTTCTCATCAAATTGTCAAGCTCATTTAAGAAGATCTGAGTATCACATTTATGGATTAAAAGATCCAAATGAAAAAAAGTAACATCAGTTATTGTAACTATAATTATAACATATACAATATAGTTCTATACAAAAATGATGATTTAAAAAGAAAAGTTTTTTCAATATATTTCCCTTCTTTACAAAGTAAATAAATTCAATTTCGGATTAATTTTATGTACAAAGTAAAATGACGAAATGAAATAAAACGTTATTTTAAACAATTAATTTGATGTTGAGTTCGTGTTACATTAATACGTATATAATATTAGTCAAGATTGATTTGATTTCTAATGGTCAACATGTCGATGCGCATGCGGGACTAAACGATTAGATGGTTTGAAAAATATATTTATCCACTCACGGAGAACAAAATCCGCCCCAGGGCCTCATGTATCAGCTATGAGTATCTAATGGACTGTTTGAAGGGAAGAAAAAATGGCCTCTCAGGGATTTCAAATATCGATGTGGACTTCTGATATTAATAAAAAATTATAGGAAAATTTTTTAAGCTATTCAATTTTTAATTTTATTGCTTTCTGTCTTCTCAAATCGACGGTGAAATTTTTATGAAGTCTGTTATACGGTCAGTAGTATATATATTTAGAGAAAAAAAACAAAATAAAATACTAAAATAAAGATAGAGGATACAAGAGTTAGGGGAAACGTGATCAGGATTGACTTCGGGATGATAATCGAGAGGACACGAATTTCCACTTTGCCCAAATAACATTGAACCATTGGTAGTTGCTAACGTTGCATTATTTCAACACTCTTTCTCTTGTCCGTTGGGTATAAACCTTTTTAAATTAATAGTTCATATGGACCACAAAAAAAAATAAGAGGTCTTTAGTACCTTCTTGGACTATTGTTATGATAAATAACAAAAAATAACAAATTTATCATTATTAATGATTTGAATTTTCACTTTACTACAGATAAATTTAAAATGATTTGTTGACAATTAATCTAAGTCAGTAGAAATAATTTTTTGAATGTCGTCAAAACCAAAAAATATTAAATCTGATTTAATGGCTGACAACAATTAGAGTTTGCTCCTAAAAAAATCATGATGTATTGCAAGAAAAATTCTCAAGTAAACATTCGCGTTAATGTATATATGTCCTGAAGAATTCGCTTCCTTTGCAGAACAAACAAGCCGTAACTTAGAGAGTGTTTATGAGAGTGAGTCAGTCGTAAAAATACGCGAATCACCTCGTGTTTCGACCATTGGGTTAGACGCCCTTTAAGTACTCTAGGTAGTTTCTCTAAGAGCTGTTTTTCTCACTAAAAAAAGGGATACGCATAGTAAAAATGAGAGAAATAAAAGGACACTGTGTGTAAAAGATAAGTGTATACATGAGTATAAAAACAGAAAAAGTAAGAAAAAGCATCTACGAAACACACCGCGTGTTACCAGATCGTAAAACTTGGCCTGATCACTGCTACCAATTATCCCACCATTATCCAAACGTTATCCGGGACGTTATCCATTCTCCCATTCTCTCCAGCAGCATCAGGCACCCCGTTAGGAACTTGAATTCTACACCCCTGCTTTCATTCTCGCCTTTTACTGCAAACGAAGTGATTCCTTCCTCGTAAACGTTGCTATGGATTCGTTCACAAGGATCTCGAGGGTTCTTTTATTTCGCAAACATTGACCTGGGGTTGTCTCCGACAGAATAAAGATTCAGAGTGATTAACCAAAGAGAAGAAGTATTTTACGTCTTTCATTCTAGAATAACCATTTTGGCTGTCCGACAAGTAGTCTTTTTACATATCTATTGCTGTCAAAATGGACATCCCTAATTAGACATAGAATGTATAAGACATAATAATTTTCATGTGTCTTACTATACTTGCTTTGATCACATTACAATTTATATCAATTAGACTTGTGAAGTTTGAAGTGATTTAACGCTAAGAAATGCTAATTATTAATATTGCTAATCATGTATCAACTTATTAGTTTATGTATTGTGACATTTTTATTGAGATTGTGATAGACTCATAAAGACAGCTGAAATTATAATTAACTTTAGAAAATTCGTTTATTTCTCCCTCCCACCTTTGCAACGTTTTTATGTACAATTTGTCATTTAAATAAATCATTTTATTTAGAATATTATATATAGAAGCTTTATTTTATCAATCAATCTTTTTTTTTACATATTTTATAAATTTTGAAAATTCATATGAAGATCCAATAAAAGAAATCATTATTTTATTATAAGGAATCAATTTCACTAAAACTTATCATTACAAAATATTCTTTTTGTTATAAATTTTTATCAACTGTCATTAATTGAACAATTTACAAATTGAAAACAGATTAGGTTGTTACATAAAACTTTCAAATAATTAATCATACAAATATTTAATTTGTGATTTTTTTAGAAATTATATTTAATGAATAAATGTTAAAAAATAATTAGATTATTGTCAATCAATGATTTATAGTGTCTTCAAAGATGATTGTTTAATTTAATAAAATTGATCGTGTGCGTAATAGTGTGATGTGTAAGGATCAGTTGGTGGAGTTGAACTGAACGTACCTGCTCTGTTGCTCTGGTCAATCATGGGTTGAACGATTCTGCGTCTCGCATTAATGAACCTGTAATCAGAGAAAGATACTAATTAAAATAAATGGATTAATTAAGAAGTAAGAGAAGAGGGTGTTTTCTTTGTTGATTATTTTCTCTCGGAAACTCTCAGCAAGGGAAAAGAAACACTCGTACGAACAATGTCGATGGTGGCGCGTCATTAACTCGAGTAAAAGAGAGAAATTCATGGACGAGCGCTTATCGAACAATAGAATCGTGGTCTGGCGTGCGGTTTGAGACCACAAGGGGACAAAGTCTGGTTCCAGTGTGTCTCGAGGGTGCGAGTGGATAAAATAAGAGAGACGGATATCTTGGTCAAAACAAAGAAACAACAAGAAAGGAGAATAAGAAATTGAGGAAGAGTGCAGAAGAAGAGGAAGAAGTGTATGTCAGCCGACGTCAGCGTCGCGGCGCCCTAATGGGCGCAGACGCCGGAAGTGATTGGGTTTCTACTCGACTGAGTCGAGTATCTCACCCTCAACTCTCACTGGGTTACAGAGGAAGGAGAAACAGGACTTCTTCAGGGTGTGAGAACACGCAACGCGAAGCAAGACCCTTGTTTTGCGGCACATCTTTCTTGCTTAGTCTCACGCCTGGCCGACTCCCGAGAGAGTCTTATGAATAATAATTATTAAAGTCTCTCGCCTAGTCTTAAATGTAGTCGGAAAACACCAATGCTGGGAAGTAGAAGCGAAAAGGCTGAAGTAAGTCGAAGATCTTGTCTAACGGGGTGGTAAGAAACTTCCTAAGAGATTAGTGTCGATGGATTTAGCGAGTGCAATGAAGCCCACGATTCTTTATAGAAAAATTTCCATCAAAACTTCATCAATTACGTTCTTTTTCTTCGGTCCAGTTTAGTGTGATGGAAACTTATCTTATCTGGATTAAAATTCATTTTAAAATTTTCTAGCAGAGAAAACTTTAATTATCTATTGTGTTCTAGATAAGATTTTCGTAAGAAAATTTATTTATAAAAATTTTTACTTATCATTCATGTTTTGTTACATCTTTATATACAAAAATGCAAGGATTGATATAAATTCAGGAATAGTTGAGTAAATTCTCGATTAAATTTGAAGGTAACAACCCTCACATGACTCGATAAAATTGTATTTCCTGTTCTTGAGCACACAAGCAGCAAGGGCTTCGAAGAAAATGATAACATTATTAGTTGAGAGGAGGATGAGGAGCAAATATAGTCCCCTCAAAGTCAAGGTCTCGGATATCACTAGATGAAAGAGTATATTTTAGTACGCACACATAACGCAGTCCTTTCCCAGCCTCTAGTGCTTCTAAGCGTTACCGGTTTCGCTTTAGTGGTGTAGGTGGCATGTCACAACCAGCTGACTCTCACCCCCTATTCACCTCTCCTTCAGCAGAGCCACCCCGTGGCTGAAATATCGCCCGAACAATGGCGCACCACTAGCGCCGCACTGCCCACCCTCTAGCTCTCTTTCTCTCTCTTTTTCTCTTACCCCATTCAAAGGAAGATAGAGAGAACGTGAGACAGGAGAAGAACTCAAGCTGCCCAGCTTCACCCTCTACAGACCAACGAAAAACCAGGAAAAATATCGTCGCTTTACGGGAAAACTTAACCCGTCGACGCGATAAAATTTTACAGTCGGAATAATTCGTTGAATTTTCTTTTCTCTATTTTATGAATTTTTTTTCATTTGTCGACAGACAGAAAAAAGCTGACTTTTTTTCTATTGTTTATTTTATATAAAAATTAATTCCATTACTTTTTTCCTTCTAATCATGCGAATCTAATGGCACATTATTGCTTGTTCGTATCATTAATTCTCTATGACGTGCGAGTTCTTTTTATGTCAACTTGAACACGATGATGACCTGACACTTTTCATCCTTTTAATGCAGTTTCGTTTTATAAGGCTACACTAAAGCATCATCTCATGAAGCAGCTAAAGAAATCAGCCCAGTCATTCACAGCATATTGAAAAAAAAAAAATAAAAAATCATCTTAAAAAAAACAAGTTTAATGATACTCTACATATTTATTGATAAGTATTTTTCCTAAAATATTTTTTATAATCTAAACAATTTTGGCCGAATTGTTGAATAAATTACTTTCCATTTAATAAAAATCAAATTTAGTGGGATCAATTTAGTAATTGGAGAATCGTTGAAAAACCATCTAGAAAAATAATGAAGGCCTTGAATTTCTATGGGGCTTTAATAGAGGCATGAAGGTTTGACGTGCATACGAATTATCTACTTACACGTTTTGCTAATAAATCAACTTGTTCCCGAATAGTTCATATCTAAACATTAATCTTAGTTTTGATTACGACGAAAATTGCTAAGCAACACGTCCATCGAACAGTAGTAGATAACTTTTCGTAAAGAGAAAGCAGGAGCATTGGTATAACAATGATTACTGTCGTCTGGTGAAGTACATTTGCTCCACTCTAGATACAGTTGCTATAGAGCCTAACTGTAATTATCAGGAAGCTTCCATTAGTTAACTACAGTCGATATTCACATACCAGCCTTGATTTCTCTTTCTCTCGTATCAAAATATATACACTTCTGTATGTTGTACATCATGCTACACAGAGCTGCATCATTATTATTGACATGAAAGAAGTCGATAATTGATTGGCAAGTGTTTTCATATGTACTGAGTTCAATTCAAAAATAAAAGAAAAATAATTCAATAGAATAAACATTTTCTGCATTCAACTTGACATTTAATTTAATGTGAGATTAGTTAGAAACTATTATATTGGAATGCAATTCTACTTTATGGAAGGACGAAGGTTATGAGTTCATTTGGAGAATTGTCTATGTATGCTGATAGTGTCTGGTTGCTGAGCGACGTATCAACTGACAAACGCGGCCAGTTTCTACTCTGCTTTTAATCTATGGCTCTATATTCCTCTTTTTTTTGTTTTTTAATACTTTTATTTTTTTTATTTTATCGCTTTTTTTTGGAAAATTCCGTTCTGCAATTTATATAATTGTTTTCCACGGGGTCGACACTAAATTTACCGGAGGACGATAGTTACGTTCGTAGACGTAAGAGAAAGCGAGACCACAACAAATGGCGAGAGCTGATGGACTCCATTAAAACAAACCAGGAAAAATACCTGACGTTTTTGCTCGTAATTTCTTTTTTAAATTCAAAAGCATTTTTATTTTTTATTTATCGTTATTTATTCCCAGAGCAAATGTGAAAGTCATTGAAACTATAAAGATGGTATAAATTTATTTCTAAATTTATAAAACAACCCTTCTCATATTTATCAATCAATTCTCAACTTTTTTTTTATTCAACTTCAAAAAATTCGCTGGTGTATGATTATCTAGAATATTTTGTTAATTCCAAATTCTCTAGTAATTTTTGATAATTATGTTTGTATCCAATTTGACACGAGTATAACCACAACACATTTGAAAAAGTCATTAATAAAATGACTAAAAATTTAGTGATGAAACCGATCGAAAAGCAAGTCATACTCACTCCCACGTCGGTTAACGCTTCGCAATTAAGGACAACACGTGCATAACCAGAGGCCGGCACATGCCGCGTGATGAATGGGCCTCGGGAAAATTATGATTGGTGGACGCGACAATGCAGGACCCCAGATCGAAAGGCGCACGCGGGCAAAGGGACAACGTCGGCTGCGCATGAAGGGTTGGCGCGAGATGCTTGCAGTTGCCAGGAACATAAGAGAATGAGAGGGAATTTGGATGAGAAGCGTGTCGAGCAGGCTGCGCTGTACTATTAGGTGACGACTAATTTCGCTAGTCTGTAGTAACGTAATAGACGTTTCGATGTCTTTCCCTTTCTCATTGAGCTTTCAAGCAAGTTATTGAGTCCACAGCTGTCGCAGTAGCAATGCCAGCAGTCGATTGTCACCGGCCACTACTTCCTCGACTGCCCTCGGGGTCAGACTCATCTCGTTTCCCTCGTACCTGCGACCCTTCTCGCCCTTATTCTCTCACCCGAGCGTCAGCTTGTAACAGTCTCTTAAACTTCATCCAAAGAGTATATGTACCAACTGCTGACGCCGTTATAAAGTGTCAACGACCCCTCTTGATACTTTTCTAGGTATTAACGTCTTGTGATACATTACACTGCAGAGAATCACGTTCTTCAAGATCTTGAAACCTCTCCTCCCTCAAGACATATAAGTATATATATGTATGGCTGGGGGATAGTCTAGTGGAGGAGGATGCACGTTTGTCAGACCGTTGTCCTAGCTCCCTCAATGACCATAGAGTCCTTGAAAATGTTCTAAGGACCTCCTGAAATCGTTTTACCTACAGCTAGACCTTCGGGCATCATACCGGAAGTGTAGTGCTAGTAAAAGGACTAACTGCGTTATTTAGATTCACGGAGAAGAGCTCTTGGTTAGATAACGGTCGTTTAGATTGACCGCTCTGACACGAGATGGCCCTAAAGCGTCGCATTTACCATCTTATGCTCGTGCGAATCTTTCCCTACATCTTTCTTGGACAGCTCACATGCCTCCAATTCTCATCTCTAAGTTGTTTTATTTTTATTTTTCCTTTTCCTCGTTTTTATATATGCTTATTGTGATTTTTTTTTCTTGTAAGGTTGGCAATAAAAGAATAAGAATTTTTATACTCGCGTGAAATAGAATATGCGGTAGTTTATGCACCAACTAAGGGAGGTCCAGACCGATCTTTTATATTCGTAGAAAACCACTTTCTGCCTTGGAATATTCTTCTCCCTTTTTTCGCGAGTGCTCTCTTGGTGTGGCTCCGAGCACATAGAATTTGAATCGACTCGTAATAAAATCTAAGCTTTATGCGACAACTTAGCCTGAGTATACATGTCTATAGATATAGAGAGTTCTATACCTGTTCAGTGAACGCAGAAAAATATAGATATACAAGGGGATACTCTCTCGAGTGAGAGTGAAAAAAGGGTTAGAAGTAGAGTGTGCTCGGCATGCCATAGCAACGATGTAAATAATGCTACGAAATCGCTACCAGATTTTTTTTCTCTTTTTTTTCATTTC